ACAGACTATGTTTGTTTTTCCTCCTTCCTTTTCCCTGGAGACCTTCATGACTCTCTGGACATTCTTTGGCAACCTCGGAGGAAGTCTGACAGTCTGTGCGGGCCTCTAGTAATACCATAACAGGTATATGAACATAAATGATTGAACACGATGTAGCAAAAACACTGCATTTCCAGAAACGTGGAAAAATGGGGACCTGACAGCGTTCCTTTCTGTACAAAAACTGGTGCACGACTCCATTTTTTTGGTTTGAATTCTCCACGAATCAGAGGATGGTACCAAGCACGCGTTCACCCTTTTAGTATGGTGAGGGGGATATATAATTAACATCATATAATTAACATATCAATTCTGCGTCTCTACTAAATGTGGATCATGGGTCTAGAAATGTTTACTTGATTTTTGTTGAAAAATTTAATTCTCCACTAAATGGTTTTAATTTTGTTTCACTTCATTTTGACCGTTTCATGAACTCTACTGTGCAACCTCTACAAAATGGTTTTTGACATTCTGATACATTTTTATCACCCTTTTTAGTAATGGAAATGGTAAGGGGGATGCTGGCATTGCCATGTGCGTACCAACATGCGGGTTTGCTACTTTGCGGTGCAAATCGCCTTGCAATGGCTGCATGGAAGTTGCACGGAGTTTGTGTTGGGGAGAGTACAAAAACGAGAAAACATCGCGTTTCCGTGTACAGTGGCTGGAGCTGGCGATGAAAGGCAGCTCTTGTGTGAGGCCCGTGCGGGTTGGGATCGTTTTGGCGGTTTTTTTTGCCGCAGTGGCACGGTGGTCTCCAGTAGGTGATCGGGGCATGTTTGCGCATACAAAAATAATCAATAATAATCAATTGTGTTGTCGAACCTGCGGCTGCAGACCACGAAGGAATAGGAATGGGAATATGTGTCTGGTTGTGTTGATGTTGTGTTGCCGTGCGCGTAGCAACATGCGTGTTTGCCACTTTGCGGCGCAAATCCCTTTGCAATGGCAGTGTGGCCGTTGCAGGGCACTTGTGTTAGGGAGGATGCCGGGCGGCGAAACCTTGCTTTTAAAGTGGCTGGAGTTGCCAGACATGTGCGTCGCAACATGCGGGTTTGCTACTTGGCTTGTGTTGGGGAGTGTGCAAGACCGCGAAACATTCCGTTCTTTTGTGTAAAGTGGTTGGAGCTGGCGATGAATGGCAGTTTGTAGATCGCGGTGGGTTGGCTGTCTGATTGTGCTCATGTTGTGTTGCCGTGTGCGTAGCAACATGCGTGTTTGCCACTTTGCGGTGCGGATGGCTGCATGAATGTTGCAGGGGATTTGTTGGGGAAGGTGCATAAGAAAAAAAATGATCGATCATACCCATGTTACAGGCTAGACGACTATTGCAGATATGGCCTATGGAATTTCATGTTATTTGGCACATCGCTCAGCTCCAGCCAGATTTAAAGAGCTGGCGAATTCGAGCTACAGTTCGTCCGGCGGGCAGGCGATACACAGTGGCCATGTCCAAGCAGTTGGCGAGGAATTTGGCGATGATCTGCTGGCTAGGAAACTAGTAACTAGTGGGATGGAAGGAAAGAAGAAAAGAAGGAAGGAACCAAGGAGTGATGGTGGGATGTCTTGATATGTCTTTTGAAAATGTAAATACCCTCGCTTGGCAGGTGAGGAACAAGAATGCAAACACAAACATTGACAGATTAATACAAATTAATACAAATTACAGACGCACGGATGCGGACACTGAGAGCGATAGGCCCAATGGCCCAATGGCATAAGTAAAATAAGTAAAACGTGAGACCACTGAGCAAGGATATAGACAGTCGAAAACCATCAGAGACACAGGCACCCACAAGGAGCGCAGGCGATGACCAAGCAGTGACCAAAGAATGTAGAAAATAGATGAAAAGAGACACCTGCACTGAAGAGTTCACACTACGCACAGACAAGCAAACGTTGGCGGGCATTGACGAGCCGTTCGTAGCAGTGCCCAACCCCTTTTGCGCCTTCATCTACCTCTGAAATCAAAACTTCTGCCTGCGAAATTTGAACCTTTACGAAGTTCAACAATGCCAAGAATAAACATAAAGCGCTCACAGACCCAGCCGGTCTCACTGTAGCGAAATATAAAATGCAACGTTTCAAGCGATTTTGGCGACGTAACTTCCAACGATTTAACATAAATTCAGCCAACTTATTGTAAATTGAGATAATGGAGAAACACAGATGATGTTTTTTCAATCATACACGGAGCTCAGTATCATCACAGCAAGTATGGAAAGGTTGTGTATCAATAATTAGCCGAAACCCAGAAATTAATATCTGAAATTACGAAAAACGAAATAGTAATAGATGTTCAAATGAAGCTACGTAGTTGCAGGTACCTGTATGCTGTAAGAGCTTTTGAAAAAAAGGTAAACCTTAGGTAATTACATCCTGTTGGAAGCAGGTTGTAATATGTTGTAATATCATGTAGATATCTAAACTTGAAACAGTTCAAGGTCTCAGCCTCCGAAGTGAATGAAAATTTCTTACAACCAGACGCCGCAGACGGTTTATGTCAAATGCGTTCAAGGCAGATTGCGGTGGGCGTGCCTCAATCGCGCACATCTGCCTATGCTGGGACGCTTTGAGGCTCGGGGATGCTTTAATTAACGTTGTGACGCTTCTCGACGCTTCGACTTTGACCGTTCTTGGAGCTTCGACACTATAGCTAAGAATTCAGAATGCTGTACATAGTGTGGGGTAAGAAGCGGCTTTGAAGCTTTGACGCTTTAGCGCTTTAGGCTTGCTGCGTCGGCGGCTTCGGCACTTTGAGGATTCGGCGCTTCGACGATTTTCAAGTCACATGCGGGCACGTGCATCCGAATCCGCATGCGATGAAAAAGTGAGATAAACAAAAACGAATATAAGTAATATAAGAAGTGCATGAATCGGGTTTGGGCAATGTTCTTTAAGCGTCTCAGATTGCAAATCCACCCACGCAATGTTGGAGCACACCTGGGATCAATCACATCGACATATGTCTACATCAACTTATTTTTCTTATGATTTCTTACAGTGTCGTACTAATTACTACAGTATGTCAGTATGTCTTACGTTTTCCTGATTTCCTTTCTTATCTCCAAATGGCAAAAATTGCCCATGACACAAACCAAACCGAGCTAAGAGCTATCCACCCAGAGCCTGTCAACGGTTTTGAGCTGTTGTAGCTGCTGATTTGTTTTGCTGTAATACATTTGAATCGCAGCGATTGACATGACAAGTCAACATCGGGCCCCGTCATTACATTTGATAGTAGATTACGGAACTGACAACACCGAACACCACGGGCCTGCACCGGCAATGACAGTGCTGCTTTGCTCTGGACGATACCAAAGGGTTACAACTGCTCACACCATGCACTATTCAGCACACAAAACATGTTAATGAATAGCCGCGGCAGCTCCACTTCGCCATAAAACCCGCAAAATTGCAGAAAAGATGCCAAGCATACAGACTTGCAGTAGGCCCCAGTAGGCAATAGGTACTCCACCCAGGAACGATGCTTTAGTGAAATCCTGTGCCCAGCGCACACCGCCGGACCATTTCGATATGTTCGAATCGGTTTAACGTGCTTGATTCAGACTGGGTTGTTTCTCCTTTCGTTCCGATCGGATGCATTGCTGTTGCTTCTTCGTGGCGTCCGTGATGCAGGGACATGGGAAAGGTGGAGGAGCACAGTGTTTAATGGTGGGGTCCGGGAAATGGGGGACGAGGGGTTTTGGAGTGGGACGTGGCGGCCTTTAGGGTTCTCAAGATTTCCAAGTCACATCCGCTACAGTAGGGTTTGGATGGGGCATCAAGCTGATTGCTTGAAAGCTCTTCCAATGTAAATGTTCCCGTAGCAGCAATGACAGCGCGAATAGAGTACTTGTCTGGAGTACAGCACCGCAATAATGAGGCCGAAAAAATCTCACTTCCAACATCTTCCAACCCTTCGACTTTGCGCTATAGATGCTATAGGCTATAGATCCACTGCATAGCCATTATGCAATGCAATAGAAAGGTCAATGCAACTGCATAGGCTTAGGCCAAACATCTGTTCGCCCCACGGTACCGAGAGCTTCTGTCGAGCCCTGGTTCTTGCTCGAGTTGTGTGACTAGGAGGCAGTTTGCTTTTTGTATCTTTCTGTTATCATATGTTATCATAATTTGCCTGTTCATTCGTTTTGGGTCATTCGGCATCCCTCTTGCACCTGCTTCGAAACACCCCACGCGGTTGAACTTGATTGAACGCAAACAAGCAGCGACGAAAGTGTTGTATTTTCACGCAAAACACATTCTTTCCAGCGTTCGCCGCCACCTTCAGCATAGGTTTAACAATCCCAGCAAACTTTGGAACACATCCAACCACCAACAACAACCAACAACAACCAACAACCACCAACAACCACCAACATCATTGCCTGGCGATTGATGCCTCCTCAATTCCATAAGCTCAAACAGCTCAAGCTCATCTATCCGAAATCTATCCTCAAGCATGGAATCTTGGCTTTGCGCGACGGTTACTACTTACTCACCACACGCATAGCCTGCAGACCTTCATTTACCCGATGCGGTCCTTCTTTGGGCCAAATAGCGAATGTGGTCCGACTGCGCCCTGTGCCTGATGTAGCTGCTCCGAGACTTTTCGAAACACCGCATTTTTGTCTGTAGCCAGAGCGAAACTGTGTCACGTGCCACGCAACTGAGGTCCGTTGGGGCTTCCAAAAATTATTTGTTCTTGAGAGCTGCCATGGCAAGCTGCTTGACCAGGATTCAAGTTTGCTCACAACAGAAGCATTAACTGTGTCACAAGGACAAAGCTCAAGTTGCAAATCTGAATCTTCCCACTACAGACTTGAATCCCGAAAGCGGTAATCTTCAAACTGTGCGCAGGCAGAAGGAAGTGGTCAGCATTTAGGCAAGTGCAAAGCCATGCCATGCAGGGGACAACAGCAACTGAAGCGAATCCGTATCCTGTCTTTGCAATGCCTGGGGATTCGTCCTTGGACTTCCCTCTGCACTGGTGAGAAGTCTCCACAGAGCCTATCACAGCTAGCGCAAGCTTCTTAGGGTCTCCTGCTGCAAGCTTGGCAACTCGGCCAAAGTGAAGATACCTATACTTCAAGCTTTAAAACAACGTGTCCCTTTTTGTGGCTCTTGTCTCTTTGGATCGTCCAAGCAAGGCAAAACGGAGAAGCGCCGACCCAGTGTCAGCTAAATCTCTTGCCAACCTAATCAGACCCTAATCAACCCAAAGATGAAGCCAATATAACCCAATGATGAACTGATCACGGCGACTTCAGATGATCCAGGCGAATACTGGACATGACTTGACCGGATGACTGTCGGTGACTGTCGGTGACTCGGTGACCTGTCCTTGGCCTTCTTCAGATTCCTCCGGCGCACGCGGAGCGCGGCGTCGTTGAAGCGCAAGGGCAACGCTGCGGTTAGGTCGCTCCAGGCATTGGAGGCATCTGCCGATGAGGGCTCGCAATCTGAGAGCTGGCTGAACCTGGGACGGTCGCACCGCTCCATATGGCTGGTGATGGCTGTTGATGGCTGCTGCTTCACCAGGAGATTTGACTCATTTTGACTCCATATGGGAGTTCCAAGCCCTTGAAAAGGTATGAAAAGGTTGGAAATGCTGATCATGGTCCAATGATTCGAGGGGTGGGCAAGGAAGAGTTGCACGAAACATGACAAAGGCAACGAGCAATGATTACTGTATGGGATGCCTCTGTAATTGTGCAGCTGAGACAAACCTGTAGCATGGATTACCTAATGCTTGCTTCAGTACTGTTTTCATGTTACGGTGTGTTCTAGAAGCCATTGCATGCCTTTCTGTCACGCAAGAAAAAGTGTTTTAGCCTTCAACTTTTTTGGACGAAGCACCAGCACCCACAATGAAAACATGCAAAAGCTGTTGCAAAAGCATCAAAACCGGCTGAATTCTATGCTCAAGGTGAGGCACTGTACGGAGAGCTCTTTTGGACCTGCACAGGAAGACAGCTCGGCATGCCCAGCGTCCAGTCAGCCAGTCCTTTATATAATTAGTAAACTTCAATATCTTCAATGTGTGCAGTAGGTCGGAACATGTCAGAATCAAATTGTAAGCCATGAGATTCTCTGATCGGGTTTGCAATACCCCAAAGCCATCTGGAACCATCTGGAACCATCTGGAGCCCTTTACTGACAGCACCCCCGCCTGCAGACGTTGGCACCACCACAGTCAATTCCAAGGTGATCTGTGCAAAAGACAGCGAATAGCTCCGTCCATATCTGTAGCCAATACCCAGGCCAACCTGGTTGGCACCAACAACGAAAGGCAGAAGGTGTGAGAAGTGACTCTCTACCGATTTTGCCAAATATGTTCCCGACAAATTCCCGCTGCCATGTGAGAATTAAGACGTGCAAAATTCCGAAGACCAATCATCTACTGTCCCCTCACAGCCGTTAAATTTGGGCAGTCTGACATCAAAACCTCGAAATCCCATGGCATGATGTAGCATGATGTAGCATGATGTAGCATGTTCTCTTTACCAAGCAACCAGTGCTGGTGCGTGGCTGGCCGCGCTATTCGGAACCAACTCTTGGGGAACTCCAACGACCACAGAGGTGCAAATTCCCCGCAGCAGCGACTCCGCTTGCGTACTGCATCCCCCCTGGGACTGAAGTGCTTGTTGTGGTAAACGTTTCAAGACCTTCCAAGGCAGGACAAGTTGGAGTCGAGAAGATCCTCCCTGCCAAGCCATCAACATCCCCAACATCCCATGGTTGACCATCATTTTATATCAGTTTCCTCATTGAAATATACTACTATATTGAAATATCGTCATTTTATACTGTTAGTTTCACATCCCATTATATCCCCAATGATATTCATGATATCCCTAGTCTGGTGTTGCCCCCGATGTTTGTTTGTTATACTTAAACCCCCGATGTTTGATGGTTGAAACCTGATCCCCGATGCTAACATAAATCTCCACATGTTATACTTATATAATCCCCACATGTCTTGTTGTTTCTGCGGAATATGAGGAATATGACATACATATCATATATATATATATATAATTATATACATATATATATACATATATATACATATATATACATATATATATATATACATATATTGTGAATTTCCAATAACTTCCTGCCTTGCTCCACCATCAGGTCACCAGTCATGCACTCATGTGAACCCATGTTCATATTGCCGCAGACATTACTGCTGTGGTCAGCGAAGGGTGGAAGTGGGAGGTGAATACCTCTTGAGCCATAGACGTTTGCCGTGGCCGGCATTTGGAAAGCTTTGGTTGCTTGGATTCCGATTGAGCAGAAGCTGAGTGGTGAAAAGGTGTGGCCGCCTTCCATTTGCGATTGGGTGTGGATCCTTAGCATTTGGGCTACTGGTTGTGAACCAATCACATTGGTAGCGGGAGCCTCCTATCCAGGGGGTTCCTGAGAGAAACTGATCTGGCCGACAGCCATGTCGGAATCTTCTGGTGGCACCGATACACAGGTGCCAACTCAGTTGACAAATCTGGTGCCACAGTTTGACCCGGCGCAACATGACCTGGAGCAGTACACTCAGAAGGTAGAACTGCTTTCAAGTATATGGCCTGCAACAAAGATGAATGAACTCATTACACGTCTCATACTGGGAACAAGTGGAGCTGCGTTTCAGAAACTGCAACTTCAGCGAAGTGAAATGATGACAGGAGATCAAAAGGGTGTTGAGCGCCTTGTGACAATCCTTGGAGGTCAGTGGGGCAAGATATCCTTAGAGAAAAAGTATGAAACGTTTGAGAAAGCCATCTACCGTTGTCAGCAAAGAAACGATGAAAGCAATGACAGTTACCTTGCCAGAGCTGATGTCTTGTGGACAGAACTTTTGACAAGCAAAGTGTCTCTGCAGGAACTGCAGGCATATGCCATTCTCAGGGGTTCGCAACTGTCAGCAGAGGACAAAAAGCGTGTCATCTTGGAGTCAGAAGCCACCAGTAAGGGAGTGCTTGAAATGTCCAAGGTAAACGCTGCAGTGAGAATGCTTGGATCTGGATTCTTTCACGATGTCACAGGTGCCAAGAAGGTCAAAGGAAAGATCTATGACACTCATGCTCTCATAGCAGAAGATGTAGCTGAATCAGAACAGGTCTTGGTAGCAGAGGAAAGCTTCGAAGAGGACTTCGTTGACCAGTTAGCTGCCGAGGGTGACGAGGATGCAATCCTAGTTTGTGAGTATGAGTCGGCCATGCAGGACACCATTCAGGAAGATGAAGAGTTAGCTCAAGCTTACAATGCATACACCGATGCGAGAAAAAGGTTGAGCGATCGATTCAAGAACAGAGGATTCTGGCCTAGCAGTGGGTCTTCAAAGGGCAAATCAAAGGGATTCAAAGGGAAGGGAAAAGCCAGCCTGAAAGGCAATCGCAAGAGCCTGCAACAACGGATTTTAGAGTCCAACTGTCGCAATTGCGGCAAAAGGGGTCACTGGAAGTCTGAGTGTCCAGACCGACCTCGAAACACAGCTGGACAACCTTCCTCGAGCCAGGCACCCACCATGACAGTGTCCACCATGCCAGGGCCGTTTCCCACCGACGAAACTTTGCCTCTGGAGTTCATGATGCTGCCAGAAATTCATGATCAGCCGATCGATGATGCCAGTCCGCAGCCAGTTTATGTCAGTGTTTGTAATGGGGTAAATCAAAAGGGGTGTAAACATCCTAAACTGGGGTATTATCTTGCTAAATGGCGGGATAACCGTAAACGGGGAATAATTTCACCAGAAATTCAGCATCTACTCAGGAGTGAAGCCAATCTCCTGAGACAGCAACCGTGCCGAAATGAGCCAGCCACAGCCGTGCATTTTGCCGAAAAGCTCGCAAGTGACGAGCAAATTTTGTTTGCATCCCATGGAACACATGGTATCTTAGATACTGGAGCGACCAAAACGGTCATGGGTAGTAATCAGGTAACAGAGATGCTACAGCAATTGCATCCAGAGATCCGGAAACGCACGTACAGATGTCAATGCAAGATCACTTTCAGGTTCGGAAATGAAGGCACGTTGGATAGTCAGCATGCAATAGTCATCCCAATAGGTCAGGTTGGTCTTAAGGTCGCCATAGTACCTGGAGGAACACCTTTGTTGCTGTCCAATTCACTGCTTCGAACCTTGAAGGCACAAGTAGATGTTTCCCGAAAGGTCCTGGTCAGCCCGTTTCTGAAGAAACCTGTGAGTCTCAACCTCAATGGCAGAGGTCTTTTTCTGGTAGATATCAATGAACTTGCTTTGTCATCAAGGGCAACAGGACCCACAGCCGAGACCTTTATGCACGATGCACTGGATGCGAAGTCAGTCCAGGAAACAGGGGTGAGCCCAGCCAGATTGAGTTCACATGCCAAGCCTGAGGATACTACCATGATAGAACCACCATCAGATGGGACACAATCATACCCACACACACATCGCACATCTCATAAACTGACACCACGCAAATCCTCAAATTCTCACCAACATGATGCCAACATGAATGCTCATGACACTCACAATCATGACAACACGATCGGAAAACATTCAACTGCAAGAAACATGATGTGTCAAAACAATGCCAGTGATGTGGATGTCTTTCAGCCTGGGTCCGAGAAGCCATTCGATCGATCACCAACAGCACCGCACTGCCAACATGAGCCTGTCCGAGCGCCTGAGCCGTCTCAGCTCATCCAAGGGAGATTCAGAGGAGATGGAAAAGTTCAAGATGCTATCTCTGGAAGAGATGGGATCGTCACCCATCACCTTCGGAAAGGCACATTTGGGCCGTCCATATGCCGAGATCTGGAATCAGGAGGCCAAGTGGCTCCAATGGTTTGTATGCACCTACGAGACATCCCAGAAGATCGATCATTTGAAACTGCTGCACTATGTGACTCTCATGATCGAGAGGTCCGAGACAGAGACTCTCACCGAGCCGTCACAGATGCCAGTTCCTCGACCCAAGCCCAAGCCGAAAAGCCGGCCAGCCCAGATGGTGTCAGAGATATCGGACGAGGAGGAGGACACATGGCTAGAGATGCAGAACCCGCCAACGTACTCCCTGAATGCCATGGAGTCCGAGAACATCATTGCCTTACAGACACGAATGAATCACCTGGAAGGAGCAGTGAGCGAGATTCTAGGCCTCCTCAGGAACAACCAATGAGTGAATCAATGTGGGCTACGGGCCTTCAGAATGCAGGAGATCTGGACAGCGACGATGTTTGTTGCCATGTCACTCAAGTGTCTCAATATCAAAAACAATTTCAAGAATTGGTTCAACAGCTGTCCAAGGAATTCCAAAATGCATTTAAGCAAGTAGAGCCACGTCAGGGTTCCAAGCTGCATGTCCTAGAGGTGTCTTGCAGTCCTCAAAGTGAACTGACACGTCAAGCCACAAACATGGGGTACCGTGCAGAGCGTTTTGGTTTCCAACAAGGGGACTTATCAACTGTTGAGGGTAGAGGTGAGTTGTTCAGAGTCATCGTTCAGAAGCAACCCCAAAACCTGTGGTTTAGCCCAACATGTGGACCATGGTCTTCCTGGAACAACCTCAATGCAGCAAAGTCCGTATCAAGTTTGACACCATCCACCGTCAGCGACTGCAGCACTTGTATCAGATCGCTCTTGGCGTCGTTTTGTTCAGGTACCAGTACTCACAGAAAAGACACTTTCATTGGGAACAACCTCGACGGTCACTCATGTTCATGACACCACTGCTGAGAGAGATCTATGAATATACATACAGTGCTAAGTTTGACTTGTGCAATGTGGGCTCCCTCAAAGATCCCGAAAACCACCGGTTCATTCAGAAGGGACTGGAAGTCCGCACTACGTCATACTTTGTGTACAGTCAGCTGCATGGTAGGTACTGTCGACACGACCATGAACACCAAGTGCTGGAAGGATCCACTGTTCACAACGGAGTCAGAAAGAATCGGACTGAGTTTTCTGAAATCTATCCACGGAAATTTGCTCGTAGCCTTGCCAAAATGCTGACCAGTTTTGCCAATATCCGAACTGAACCAAAAGAGTTTTCCCAGTGGAAGGAGGTGTTTGCTGCCGCCGTGAAACGACAGTCATCCGATCGTGCTGGTACAAAAGAGTCACCAGCAAAGCGAATCCGGGCCAACACTGCCAGGAGACGTGAACCACCAGCAGACTCCAACAAAAGGAGACGTAAGGGTGATGTCGAATCAAAGGAATCCCACATGACACAGCGGGATAACCTATATGAACTTTGTGAGAAGGTCCACCGTAATCTTCCCAGAGTAGGTCGCAGAGAGGTTTTCGACCCTGAAATCATCCAAAGCATCCAAGAAGCATTCGGAGAAAAGAAAGTGGTTCGTGTCCTTGCCTGCAAAGGAACCGAGCGCATGTTGCCACCTCCACAGAACATGATGCATGGAGAAGCCCCATTCCGAAGAACCATAGCACTTGAACGAGGCACCAAAAGGGTATGGGTCCAAAATGAATGGGAAGAATGGGAAACAATCTCGCAGAGGCAACTGATCAGAGGCTTGATTCCTTGTGCCGTGAATATAACAGTGTTTGGCTGCAATCCATCAGAAGCTTCACCAAGCTCAGCCGAAATTCAGCCAAAACAGGAGTCACAATCCCAGGTCCCGGAAGGACAACTGCACTCGACTCCTGTACAGGAAACTACTGCACAAGACAGTGTGGCGGATCCATCGACCTGCAAACACGGGACAGAGC